ACGCGTCGCCGCATGACTGGTCCAAGACACCCAAGATGGCCTCAGGATGGCCCAAGAAGCCCCCCAAGACCTCCAAGGGGCCCCCCAAAAGAGCCCCGAGAGTCAACATTCATTGATTTCCCGTTGGTCTTTCAAGGTTTTTCACGTTTTCGCCTTCTCGGCTTCCCGACGCTGCAATCGTGGGTGGACAGACTTCCTACCCGGACACGTCGATTAAGGAATTGGCCGTTTTCGGTTCGCGAGAGGGCGTCGCGGCCGTCATTTTTGCGGGTCCAGGTCCGTCGGTTTTTGTCCCAGGCCGTTTTCATTAAGGGGAGGTCTACTAAAGGGAGGTCTGTCCACCGCCGATCCAAGACGGCCCAAAAGGCTCCGCATATCGCCCCAAGACGACCTGAGACGCCCCCCGGAGAGCGCACAGACGGCCCAAGACGCCTCCATCACTGCCCAAGAGGCTTCCAAGACGGCTTAAGCAAACCCCAGGAACGCTCCAAGAGGGCCCCAGAGGGGGAGCACGGACTAGCATTGTGAGTTCTCCACCCAAAAACGCACCAGGAGGCCCCAAGATGCCCCCAAGAGGCCCCAAGAGGCTTCCAAGAGGTCCCCAGGAAGCCCCCAGAGACTCCCGAGAGGGCCCAAAGACTGCTTAAAGCGGCCCCGAGGTGGTCGTCGGAAACGCCCCAGGTCTCGAAGGCTGCCCAACAGGGCTCCAAGATGGTCGGAGACGCCCCGACAAAATGGCACAGCGTAAACGGACAACACGGGAAGCAGCATACAGTGCTTTAAAGCGGCACAGCATCAAACGGACAATTCGGGAACCAGCATGATGTACCATTCTAGGCATACTGTTATTTGTTGTTCTCTTCCTCGCAAGTCACGCCCACTTGTCCTCCAAGGTCGCGCTTCGTGGCTACATCAGTTTTTCCCTCTGAGGTGGTCCCCCCCGAAAGTTGCCCCTGACGAAAGGGCGAGGTTTTGAACGACACATCGTCTGACAGTAATGTTTGCCAGCACGGACCCCAGACAGTGAGATGTTGCACTGTGGATATGTAAGATATGTAGTGCGATCTATGTGGTGTGAGCTGTGAGGTGTGCACTATGTGGCACAACATGCGTGGGCAATGTATGTCGTGCGAGCTGTGCGGTGTAAGCTATATAGCGCAACATATGGATCGTATGAGTTATGTGGTCTAAGCTAGGTGGTGCAATATACGTGGTGCGACCTATGTTGTGTAAGCTGCGTGGTGCAATCCAAACGGTGCACCATACGCAGTGCAATACGTGTGTTGTGGGTTGTGTGCCGTATGCCATGCGGGGCACTCGGAGTCGTGTGAGCTATGATCCGTGAGTCATGCTGCGCAAGTTGTGTGATGCACCCTATGTGGTATAAGATATTATGAGATGGAATGAGCTGCGATGCGTAAGCCATGCGGTGCAATCTATGTGGTGTGAGCCATGCAGTGTGCTCACGGTGCGCCCACGGGCCGCGACGTCGGCGAATCTTCGGCGCACCTTCCCAGCACACGCGGGCGCCCACGGGGCGCCCACCGGGCGGCAGCGTGGCGAAGCTTCCTTGGGGACAGCAGTGAGAGCCTCCACGTGCAAGCACTGTTTGGGGAGCAGGGGGGGGGGGGGGGACGGGGTACACGGAGTCTGCTGCGCGGAGCTGGTGCCGGCCCCGCCGCGCGCCGCGCGGCGCCCTCCCTCGGCATGCTCGGGGCTACGAGTGCGGCCGCTGCCAGAGTCCACGCAGCGTTGGGCACCGACGCGCCGCGCCTCCCTCTGTGCCGCGTCTCGGTTTGTCTCGTGCTCGCGCCCTGCGCTCGCAGCTGCGTGCTGCCTGATGCTGTTCGTCCGAGGTCGCAGCCAGGTTCAAGTCGGGCATGCCCCTCTGCAGGAGGAATATTCAAAGGTAGTCAGAGACTCGTCAAGGGATGAAGTTTTGAGTACTTCTGAGCATTTTCAAGGTATCATTGTTTGATTATTGGTCGCCGACCTTGCGGAGGGGTTTCTGTTTAGTGTTCCCCTGGGGGGTCTGGGGGGTCCCCCCCCGGGACATGGCCCCGGCCATGCGGCGAACGCCGGCGGAAGCCGGCGGAAGACGGCCCCATTTCGGCAGACGCGCTTGCGTGCGGCACGGGCGGCCCCAAGATGATCCGTAAGATGGTCCAAGAGGGCCACGAGTCGCACACAGTTCGGACCAGACCATCCTAGACGGCACCCACACGGCCCAGACAGCCCCGAAGAGGCCCCGCGAGGCTTTCCAGAGGGGTTCCCAAAATTCTTTGATTTCTTTTCATTTTCTGAAGATTTTTCGCGCGTGCGCCTTTTCGGCTTCCCGACGCTCCAAGACGGCCCCAAAGGCCCGAAACATCCCCCCAAGACGGCCTCAGAGGCCCCCACGAGGCCCTCAAGAGAGCGCCCAAACAGTCCAAGACGCCCCCAAGACGGCCCAAGAGGCCTCCAAGACGGCTCCTAGAAGGCCTCAGGAACGCCCAACAGGGGGGCCCAAGAGGGGGTGCAGGGACTGACATTTTGCGCTCTCCGCCCAAAAAGAAACCCTAGGAGGCCCCAAGAGGCCCCCAAGAGGCCCCAAGAAGCCTCCAAGAGGACCCCAGGAAGCCCCCACGAGGGCCCCAAAACTAGCCTCAGAGGGCCCCGAGAGGGTCGGAGAGACGCCACGGGGCCCGAAGACTGCCCAACAGCAGGGCTCCAAGATAGTCGGAGGCGGCCCGACAAAGTGGCACGGCATCAAACGGACAGCACGGGAGCCAGCATAACGCGCCTCAAAGCGGCACAGCGTCAATCTGGCAACACGGGAACCAGCATGATGCGCCTTCTTCCTCACGAGTCGCGCCCATTTGTCCTCCAAGGCTGGGGCTCGTGGCTATATCAGGATCTTTTTTCCTCCAAAATCCGCCTGTAGGACGGGACCGACATTTTGGCCTCTCCGTCAAAAAAGACCACCAGGAGGCCCCAAGAGGCCCTCAGGAGGGCCCAAGAGGCTTCCAGGAGGCTACAAGAAGGCCCCATAGCCATCATTTCTTTGGTTTTTGTTTGTCTCGCGCGTGCCCCCCCCCCTGTCCTCCCCCGGTGGCTCGCATAGCCACGCGCTGAGCTCACCTCGCAAGGCCTTCATTTGACAGGTGGCTCGCATGGTCAGTGCCGTGCTGAGCTCACTTCGTGGCGCGCATGTTCACGTGCTCTGTTCGCACACGACCTGCCCCTCTCAGCATCTTCTCACACACGACAAGTAGGCCCTCAGGATGGCCGCAGAGGGGCCCTGGAGCCCTGCACATTGCCCAAGCTTCCTCCTTTTCACACCTGCACGCGCACGGCCCTTGCAAAGCCGGTGGCTCGCATGGTGACGTGCTGCACTCACCGCACACGGCGTTATTTCGTTCAAGTGGCTCGCATGGTGCCTTTCTCGCAAGCCATGCCCACCTGCCTTCCGCTGGTGGCTCGCATGACAGCGTGCTCGGCTCACCTCGCACGGCCCTCATTTTGCGACTGGCTCACATGGTGCCGTGCTGACCGTACTTCGTCGCTCGCATCTTGTTCAAGACGACTTCCTGACGGCCCCGGGAGGCACCAAGCCGCCCCCGGAAGCCTCCGAGAGGCCCCCAAAGAAGCCTCGGAGAGGCTTCCACGAAGCTCCCAGAGGCTCCGAAGAGGGCCCCAAGTCTGCCCAAGAGGGCCTCAGGATGGCTGGAGACGCCCCGACAGAGCATCACCGCGTCAAACGGACAACACGGGAACCAACGTCAGATGCCTTCTTGGCATCCGTTTCTTTGCGCACTTGCCCAAGAGAGCCCCAGGATGAACGCAAACGCTCCGAAGCCCCAGGAACGCCCCAAGAAGGCCTCCACGCCGGGGGGCCGAACCGACATTTTGGGCTCTCCGTCAACCAGAGGGCCCCAAGAGGCCCTCAGGAGGGCCCAAGAGGCTTCCAAGAGGCTGCAAGACGGCCCCACAGCCATCATCTTCTCAGCTCTTTTTCCCCGACCTTGCGGAGGGGTTCCCGTTCAGCGTTCCCCTGGGGGGGTCTGGGCGGTACCTCCTGGGACGTGGCCCCGGCCATGCGGCGAACGCCGGCGGAAGCCGGCGGAAGACGGCCCCGTTGCGGCAGACGCGCTGGCGCGCGGCACGGGCGGCCACAAGATGGTCCGCAAGATGGTCCCAGAGGGCCGCGAGTCGCCAGCATGTCGATCCAGGCCGCCCAAGATGGTTTCCTGACGGGCCCGGAAGCTACCCAGACCGCCCCAGGAGGCCCCCCAAAGAGCCCCCAGAGTCACAAAGGATTGATCTTCCTCAGCGTTTTCAAGGTTCTTAGCGTTCTCGCCTTTCCGGCTTCCCGACGCTCCAGGACGGCCCAAGAGAGGCCGTACAGATCGCCCCAACACGGCGTGTACGAGCCGCCCCCAAGAGAGCGCACAGGAGGCCCAAGGCGCCTCCAGGACAGCCCAATGGGGCCTCCAAGACGGCTCCAAGAGAGCCCCAGGAGCGCCCCAAGAGGGGCCCGGAGGGGGAGCACAGACCAGCTTTTTTGGGTCCTCCGCCCAAAAAAAGCGCGCCAGAGGAGGCCCCAAGAGGCCCCCTAAGAGGCCCCCAAGAGGCTCCCAAGATGTCCCCAGGAAGCCCGCAGGAGACCCCCAAGAGGGCCCCACGACTGCTTCAGACGGCCCCGTCCGTGGCCATTTGGGCTCAAGCTGCATTGCTGTCGCTGTGCGCGTGTTAGCCAAAGCACCGCGACTATCCTTGGCCGTTCCCTGTTCGACCATCTGCCGTAACACTGCCATATGACGGATGGTTTGCGGTCAGCCTCGGCACACATGGCTTACCGTGGTCGTCAGCATTTTTTCCTGACGCTCGTGAAGCTGTCCTTGGGTACCATCGCCGTGCTCTCACGTGGAGTTTGCGGCGTGGACGTCACCACTGCATCAACCGAGGATGGAGGCGAAGAGGTGGAGACGACGTGGTCCTCTGCTTCGTCAGTTGGCGAGGCGGCCGTGGCGCAGACTGGTTTGCGGGGCATGCCAAGACAGCCAGAGCTTGACGCCAGCCGCGGCGTCGCGGACAGTCACGTCCGAAACGGAACGATCTCCGGGATTGCAGACAACAGGGCCTCGACGGCTGTCGCGCTCCTGCCTGCATGGCCGAGGGCGATGGATGTGGCGCTGGGAGGGCCGCCGCATGAGCAGGACCGCCGGCTGAGTCAAGAGTATACCTTATTGGACCCAGGCTTGACCTGCTACGACGTGGGCATCAACGACACGTCGGACTCCACGGAGTGCTTCGGCTCCGCGATGGACTACGTCGGACTGAGTGGAAAAAGTTCGCTAAATTTCGGATCGGCCTCTTCGTTTACGTTCAGTTGTGTCTTCGACTCCAGCTTGAACATGGTTCTGTACGCCGAGGCCACCGGCTCCGACACGACGACGTCGGCCCATTGGAATTACATTTGCCCAGGCTCATTCTCCACGATAGGCTCCTCCACGAACACCGCAACGGCCACAGCCACGTCGACCTCTGCCACGGCGACCGCTGCCACGTCGACCTCTGCCACGACCACGACATCGACGACCGCCACACAGCCTCCCGCAATGACATTGGTGCCAGCGGGCCAGACGTGCTACGATGTGGGCTTGCAAGACGTCGCGAGTTCCGACTTCTGCTTCGACGCAGCAGCTCCCATTCTTGGTTTCTCTCCCGCCCAAACGGCTCACATCCCGACTGCGGCTGTTAGGTTCAGTTGTGTCTACCACAGCGCCTCGGATTCCATGATCTTTGCGCAGGCACGCGGCGCTCAAACAGAGGGATCTGCCGACTACCAGTTCCTCTGCATCGGGACATACTCAACTACGGCTACGTCCACTCCGATTACGAGCACCTCCCTGACCCGCAGCTCGACGATGACCGTGACAGCCACGGCCGCGACAGCCACGACCAGCCGGCTGAGTCAAGAGTATACTTTATTGGACCCAGGCTTGACCTGCTACGACGTGGGCATCAACGACACGTCGGACTCCACGGAGTGCTTCGGCTCCGCGATGGACTACGTCGGACTGAGTGGAAAAAGTACGCTGAATTTCGGATCGGCCTCTTCGTTTACGTTCAGTTGTGTCTTGGACTCCAGCTTGAACATGGTTCTGTACGCCGAGGCCACCGGCTCCGACACGACGACGTCCGCCCAGTGGAATTACATTTGCCCAGGCTCATTCTCCACGACAGGCTCCTCCACGAACACCGCAACGGCCACAGCCACGTCGACCTCTGCCACGGCGACCTCTGCCACGTCGACCTCTGCCACGACCACGACGTCGACGACCGCCACACAGCCTCCCGCAATGACATTGGTGCCAGCGGGCCAGACGTGCTACGATGTGGGCTTGCAAGACGTCGCGAGTTCCGACTTCTGCTTCGACGCAGCAGCTCCCATTCTTGGTTTCTCTCCCGCCCAAACGGCTCACATCCCGACTGCGGCTGTTAGGTTCAGTTGTGTCTACCACAGCGCCTCGGATTCCATGATCTTTGCGCAGGCACGCGGCGCTCAAACAGAGGGATCTGCCGACTACCAGTTCCTCTGCATTGGGACATACTCAACTACGGCTACGTCCACTCCGATTACGAGCACCTCCCTGACCCGCAGCTCGACGATGACCGTGACAGCCACGGCCGCGACAGCCACGACCAGCCGGCTGAGTCAAGAGTATACTTTATTGGACCCAGGCTTGACCTGCTACGACGTGGGCATCAACGACACGTCGGACTCCACGGAGTGCTTCGGCTCCGCGATGGACTACGTCGGACTGAGTGGAAAAAGTTCGCTAAATTTCGGATCGGCCTCTTCGTTTACGTTCAGTTGTGTCTTGGACTCCAGCTTGAACATGGTTCTGTACGCCGAGGCCACCGGCTCCGACACGACGACGTCCGCCCAGTGGAATTACATTTGCCCAGGCTCATTCTCCACGACAGGCTCCTCCACGAACACCGCAACGGCCACAGCCACGTCGACCTCTGCCACGTCGACCTCTACCACGTCGACCTCTGCCACGACCACGACGTCGACGACCGCCACACAGCCTCCAGCAATGACATTGGTGCCAGCGGGCCAGACGTGCTACGATGTGGGCTTGCAAGACGTCGCGAGTTCCGACTTCTGTTTCGACGCAGCAGCTCCCATTCTTGGTTTCTCTCCCGCCCAAGCGACTCACATCCCGACTGCGGTTGTTAGGTTCAGTTGTGTCTACCACAGCGCCTCGGATTCCATGATCTTTGCGCAGGCACGCGGCGCTCAAACAGAGGGATCTGCCGACTACCAGTTCCTCTGCATCGGGACATACTCAACTACGGCTACGTCCACTCCGATTACGAGCACCTCCCTGACCCGCAGCTCGACGATGACCGTGACAGCCACGGCCGCGACAGCCACGACCAGCCGGCTGAGTCGAGAGTATACCTTATTGGACCCAGGCTTGACCTGCTACGACGTGGGCATCAACGACACGTCGGACTCCACGGAGTGCTTCGGCTCCGCGATGGACTACGTCGGACTGAGTGGAACAAGTACGCTGAATTTCGGATCGGCCTCTTCGTTTACGTTCAGTTGTGTCTTGGACTCCAGCTTGAACATGGTTCTGTACGCCGAGGCCACCGGCTCCGACACGACCACGTCCGCCCAGTGGAATTACATTTGCCCAGGCTCATTCTCCACGACAGGCTCCTCCACGAACACCGCAACGGCCACAGCCACGTCGACCTCTGCCACGGCGACCTCTGCCACGTCGACCTCTGCCACGACCACGACGTCGACGACCGCCACACAGCCTCCAGCAATGACATTGGTGCCAGCGGGCCAGACGTGCTACGATGTGGGCTTGCAAGACGTCGCGAGTTCCGACTTCTGTTTCGACGCAGCAGCTCCCATTCTTGGTTTCTCTCCCGCCCAAGCGACTTACATCCCGACTGCGGCTGTTAGGTTCAGTTGTGTCTACCACAGCGCCTCGGATTCCATGATCTTTGCGCCGGCACGCGGCGCTCAAACAGAGGGATCTGCCGACTACCAGTTCCTCTGCATCGGGACATACTCAACTACGGCTACGTCCACTCCGATTACGAGCACCTCCCTGACCCGCAGCTCGACGATGACCGTGACAGCCACGGCCGCGACAGCCACGACCACCTCCTTCGTGAACTACGCGCTTCTGGAAACCGGACAGACTTGCCACGAGGCCGGTATGGAGGATGTCACCAGCAGTGCAGAGTGTTTCGGACCTGCCAGACAACATTTCAATTTGCAGTATGTTGCGACGTCCGATTTTTCAGGACACGGTTTTGCTTTCACATGCGTGTATTACACCACGTACTCGGAGATATACTTCGCGGACTCTAGCCCAGAAAACGCTATCGGCTCTTTCTATTACCGGTACATCTGCAGGGGTGTCCTGACGACGACCGACACCAGCACCACCACCCCCACATCCTTGACGACGACGCCAGCACCGACCCCAGCACCTGCGCCAGCGCCCACGCCCGCGCCAACGCCAGCACCAACGCCAGCATCAACGCCAGCACCAACACCAGCGCCTACGCCAGCGCCCACGCCAGCACCAACGCCTGCACCGACCCCAGCACCAACACCAGCGCCTACGCCAGCACCAACGCCCGCGCCAACGCCAGCACCGACCCCAGCACCTACGCCAGCGCCCACGACCGCGCCAACGCCTACACCAACGCCAGCGCCGACGCCAGCAACGACACCAGCGCCTACGCCAGCGCCAACGCCGGTAGCTACGCCCGCGCCGACGGGCAGCACCGGCACCAGCATTCGGACCAGTACAATTGTCAGCAGCACAACACGCACCAGCACCAGCGCAACCAGCATCACCACCAGGAGCACCACGACCGCGACACGCAGCACGACCCGCACCAGCACCAGCGCAACCAGCAGCACCACGCGTAGCAGCACCAGCGCAACCATCAGCACCACAGGGACGATCACGACTGGCACCAGCAGCACCACGCGTTCCAGCACCAGCGCAACAAGCAGCACCAGTGATGCCAGCACGACAGCAACCAGCAGCACCAGCACCAGCACTTTGACCAGCCCTGCCGGGAGCATCACCACGCGCACCAGCACTAGCACAACCAGCAGCACCATTGTGACAAGCAGCACCATTCGCACCAGCAACAGCGCAACGAGCAGCATCAGTGATACAAGCGCGACCGCAACTAGCAGCACCAGCACAACGTCGGTGAGCAGTACAACTGAAAGCAGCGCCACGAGCATTACGAGCACGACTGGGACTAACAGCATCACGCTCACGAGCGCCAGTGCAACGAGCAGTACCACTGATACAAGCACGACCGCGACAAGCAGTGCAACATCGAGCACCACGACAGCGACAAGCAGCACAACCTTCACCAGCACCAACGCAACCAGCACCACCACTGTGACAACCACCAGCGGGACAAGCAGCACCGCGCGCAGCAGCACCAGCGCAACCAGCAGCACAACAGGGACCACCGCGACTGAGACAAGCAGCACGTCCCGCACCAGCACCAGCGCAACCAGCAGCACCACAGCAAGCACCACGTCTGGGTCCGTTAGCACCACGCGTACCAGCACCAGCGCAACAAGCAGCACCACAGTGACCAGCACCAGCGCAACCAGCAGCACAACAGTGACCACCACGTCATCGACAAGCAGCACAACCCGCACCAGCACCAGCGCAACCAGCAGCACAGCAGTGACCACCACGACCGCGACAAGCAGCACAACCCGCAGCAGCACCAGCGCAACCAGCAGCACCACTGTGACCACAACGACCGGTACCAGCAGCACCACACGCAGCAGCACCAGCGCAACCAGCAGCACAACAGGGACGACCGCGACTGAGACAAGCAGCACGACCCGCACCAGCACCAGCGCAACCAGCAGCACCACAGGAAGCACCACGACTGGGTCCAGCAGCACCACGCGCAGCACCAGCGCAACTAGCAGCACCACGCGATCCAGCACCAGCGCAACCAGCAGCACAACAGTGACCACCACGTCATCGACAAGCAGCACAACCCGCACCAGCACCAGCGCTACCAGCAGCACAACAGTGACCACCACGACCAGTACCAGCAGCACAACGCGCACCAACACCAGCGCAACCAGCAGCACCACAAATACCAGCTCTACGACAACCAGCAGTACTACTCGCAGCAGCACCAGCGCTACCAGCAGCACAACCCGCACCAGTACCAGCGCAACCAGCAGTATTACTCGCAGCAGCACCAGCGCCACCAGCAGCACAACAGTGACCAGCACCAGCGCAACCAGCGACACCACGCGTAGCAGCACCAGCGCAACCAGCAGTGCCACGCGCACCAGCACCAGCGCAACCAGCAATACACATGCTTCCAGCACGACGGCAACCAGCAGTACCATTCGCAGCAGCACCAGCGCTACCAGCAGCACCACTGTGACCACCACGACTTGGACAAGCAGCACCACGCTTAGCAACACTAGCTCTACCAGCAGCACAACAGTGACCACCACGACCAGCACCAGCAGCACAACGCGCACCAGCACCAGCGCAACCAGCAGCACTACTCGCAGCAGCACCAGCGCAACTAGCAGCACAACTGTTTCCAGCACGACGGAAACCAGCAGCACAACACGCACCAGCACCAGCGCCACCACCAGCACCACAGTGACCAGCACCAGCGCAACCAGCAGCACAGCAGTGACCACCACGACCGCGACAAGCAGCACAACCCGCACCAGCACCAGCGCAACCAGCAGCACCACTGTGACCACAACGACCGGTACGCGCAGCAGCACCAGCGCAACCAGCAGCACAACAGGGACCACCGCGACTGAGACAAGCAGCACGACCCGCACCAGCACCAGCGCAACAAGCAGCACCACAGTAAGCACCACGACTGGGTCCAGCAGCACCACGCGCAGCACCAGCGCAACTAGCAGCACCACGCGTTCCAGCACCAGCGCAACCAGCAGCACAACAGTGACCACCACGTCATCGACAAGCAGCACAACCCGCACCAGTACCAGCGCTACCAGCAGCACAACAGTGACCACCACGACTAGTACCAGCAGCACAGGCACCAGCACCAGCGCAACCAGCAGCACCACAAATACCAGCTCGACGACAACCAGCAGTACTACTCGCAGCAGCACCAGCGCTACCAGCAGCACAACTGTTTCCAGTACGACGGCAACCAGCAGCATTACTCGCAGCAGCACCAGCGCCACCAGCAGCACAACAGTGACCAGCACCAGCGCAACCAGCGACACCACGCGTAGCAGCACCAGCGCAACCAGCAGTGCCACGCACACCAGCACCAGCGCAACCAGCAATACACATGCTTCCAGCACGACGGCAACCAGCAGTACCACTCGCAGCAGCACCAGCGCTACCAGCAGCACCACTGTGACCACCACGACTTGGACAAGCAGCACCACGCTTAGCAACACTAGCTCTACCAGCAGCACAACAGTGACCACCACGACCAGCACCAGCAGCACACGCGCACCAGCACCAGCGCAACCAGCAGCACTACTCGCAGCAGCACCAGCGCAACTAGCAGCACAACTGTTTCCAGCACGACGGAAACCAGCAGCACAACCCTCACCAGCACCAGCGCCACCAGCAGCACCACAGTGACCAGCACCAGCGCAACCAGCAGCACAACAGGGACCACCGCGACTGAGACAAGCAGCACGACCCGCACCAGCACCAGCGCAACAAGCAGCACCACAGTAAGCACCACGACTGGGTCCAGCAGCACCACGCGCAGCACCAGCGCAACTAGCAGCACCACGCGATCCAGCACCAGCGCAGCCAGCAGCACAACAGTGACCACCACGTCATCGACAAGCAGCACAACCCGCACCAGTACCAGCGCTACCAGCAGCACAACAGTGACCACCACGACTAGTACCAGCAGCACAGGCACCGGCACCAGCGCAACCATCAGCACCACAAATACCAGCTCGACGACAACCAGCAGTACTACTCGCAGCAGCACCAGCGCTACCAGCAGCACAACTGTTTCCAGTACGACGGCAACCAGCAGCATTACTCGCAGCAGCACCAGCGCCACCAGCAGCACAACAGTGACCAGCACCAGCGCAACCAGCGACACCACGCGTAGCAGCACCAGCGCAACCAGCAGTGCCACGCACACCAGCACCAGCGCAACCAGCAATACACATGCTTCCAGCACGACGGCAACCAGCAGTACCACTCGCAGCAGCACCAGCGCTACCAGCAGCACCACTGTGACCACCACGACTTGGACAAGCAGCACCACGCTTAGCAACACTAGCTCTACCAGCAGCACAACAGTGACCACCACGACCAGCACCAGCAGCACAACGCGCACCAGCACCAGCGCAACCAGCAGCACTACTCGCAGCAGCACCAGCGCAACTAGCAGCACAACTGTTTCCAGCACGACGGAAACCAGCAGCACAACCCTCACCAGCACCAGCGCCACCAGCAGCACCACAGTGACCAGCACCAGCGCAACCAGCAGCACAACAGGGACCACCGCGACTGAGACAAGCAGCACGACCCGCACCAGCACCAGCGCAACAAGCAGCACCACAGTAAGCACCACGACAGGGTCCAGCAGCACCACGCGCAGCACCAGCGCAACTAGCAGCACCACGCGTTCCAGCACCAGCGCAACCAGCAGCACAACAGTGACCACCACGTCATCGACAAGCAGCACAACCCGCACCAGTACCAGCGCTACCAGCAGCACAACAGTGACCACCACGACTAGTACCAGCAGCACAGGCACCAGCACCAGCGCAACCAGCAGCACCACAAATACCAGCTCGACGACAACCAGCAGTACTACTCGCAGCAGCACCAGCGCTACCAGCAGCACAACTGTTTCCAGTACGACGGCAACCAGCAGCATTACTCGCAGCAGCACCAGCGCCACCAGCAGCACAACAGTGACCAGCACCAGCGCAACCAGCGACACCACGCGTAGCAGCACCAGCGCCACCAGCAGTGCCACGCGCACCAGCACCAGCGCAACCAGCAGTACACATGTTTCCAGCACGACGGCAACCAGCAGTACCACTCGCAGCAGCACCAGCGCTACCAGCAGCACCACTGTGACCACCACGACTTGGACAAGCAGCACCACGCTTAGCAACACTAGCTCTACCAGCAGCACAGTGACCACCACGACCAGCACCAGCAGCACAACGCGCACCAGCACCAGCGCAACCAGCAGCACCACTGATATCAGCACGTCGGCAACCAGCAGCACTACTCGCAGCAACACCAGTCATTCGTCCACCACGACGGCCACGAACACATCGACGCTGTCCTCAACCACGGTCTCGTCGACCACCCGTAGCTCTACCACTGGGGCGTCCACCACGTTTGCGAGCTACACAGACACGTCCACCACGACCGCGAGTAAAACAGAGACGTCCACCGCGACTGCCACTGAGACGAAGTCGATGACGTCCGGAACCACAACATCGACTTCCGTGACGTCCACAACAACAATATCTACAACCGAGTCGTCATCATTAACCAGCTCCACCACGTTTCACTCAACGACCGCCTCCAGCCTAACAGCATCAAGCAGGACAGAGACGGTAACCACTGGTACGGTAACCACTGGCACGATCACCACCACCACAGCGACTCTTGAGCGTTTTTCCTTAGTCAAGGCTGATGTCGCGATGTCTTTCACAACCTTCCTAAACGAAACATCGGTAGAAGTTGTTGCGCGTGCAGCGATTGCAACCTTCTTGAGCATTTCGCAGTCGAAGGTCACGATCAACTCCGTCGTCGTCAGAAACACGTCAAGGCGCGTGTCGCTTCAACGAAGATTGGCCAGTCAAGTGTGGGACATCGACTACACAATTACAGTTGAGGGTACAAACACGGATGAGACCGAAGAGGCATTGTTGCGTCTGTATGACAACACGTCGCAGTTCCATGAGTTTGTCCAGAACGAGCTCGATGAGAGAGAGCTTCCTCGTGACATCGTGGAGTGGGTGGAATCGTCGGTGCCCGTGGTGGAACTTTGGATATACACTACAGCGACGTTGACTTCCACGTTGACGCTGACCTCCACGACGGTGACTTCCACGTTAACGTCCACAACTTGCTGTGTGTGTGCTCTTCCTATGTTCGCTGGTATTCCTGTAGGGATAAGTGGACCCGGCTTCACTTCATCATCCGGGTTGGATACCATAGTACGCATCGAATGCTCGGGCATTGAATATGGAGACGTTTGCGAGCCTGTTTGTGGTTTGGGGCATGCTGTAGATGGGACAATGGTATGCAGCGACGAGACGGACATGTTCGAGGGACGTGCTGACTGTCTGCCTAACACCTGTGTTGGCAGTCCAGCATTGCCGACTGGCTATGAGACAGAGGATGCAAATTGCGCAGACAGGAATTATCCTGAGACATGCAGCGTAACCTGTTCTGAGGGCTACGAGAACCTACTTGGGACCTCCATCGAAGTTCAGTGTACAGCCGACACGTCTTACAATCTGTCAAAGGGTGACGGGTCTTGCACAGAATCGCGCTGCTATGCATTCTCGCCACCTGGCATGTTGAACGTGGCCAGCAGCTCGTCTTGCACCGGTATTGCGAGCCGTGAGTCGTGCTCGCCAGTTTGCGATGACGGTTACCAGCTTGTTGAGCCAATCAAATGCATGTTGGGCTCGTTTGAGATGATTCCGGTGGTCTGCGTCTCCGATGCGGACGCGGAGGCGTTCGAACGTGTCGAGGTTTTGCTGGTGGAGATTGCGCTCGTTGCCGGTCAGACGAATTCGGGCATTACGGCGGAGTGGGCTGGCGGCGGGACCAGGGCTCCGATGCAAAGCGCGCTCGGCGACGTTTTAGGCTTGTACCCAGAGCAGGTTTATTTATTGGAGATGAAGGACCTGAGCTCAGACTCAGCGTCTGGCATTCCAGCGAGGCGTTTGACAGGAGAGGAGGGGCTGTTCGTCAAACTGTGGCTCCAGCTGTACCCGATGAACGACCGCACGGCGGTCGAGGGTGGCCTGGCCGACCTCGGGACGAGAAATTTTACCGGTAGCTTCGTCAGCTTCTTGCAGGAGGCCGGCGTCGCGGTGCCGGCGGGCCTCCGCACGGCCGCGGTCGTCGCCGGGACGCCCCTGACCACCCTCGAGAGCGTGCCTGTGGCGCGCTGGGTTGTCAGGACAGAGTGGTCCGCCTGCAGCACGACGTGCGGCGAGGGTGAAATCACCCGCGACGTCGATTGCCTGACCGGCAACACCGAACTGTGCAACGCAAACGCGCCCCCGGATTTCACGCAGGACTCGTTCGAGCCAAGCTCGCTCCCCTGCAAGTCGTACATCCAGTGCCCGTACGACTGGACGTGCCCCAGCGGCCCCGACGAGGAGACAGGCGAAGGCTGCGATGCACAGGCGGGGTTCGTGTCCGCGGCCATCGCCTTCTCTTCCGCCATCTGCTGCTCCCTATCCATCCGGTACGTCAGGAACATGTGCAGGCAGCCCGTCGGCGGCAGGTTCCGCGTACAGTTGAAGGGCGGCGAGAGCAGGGGCACCACTATCGACTGGACCCGGGACAACGGCTTCTCCACCGAGAACGGCGTCTCCAAGACGAGGCTCAAGTACTCGCTCGGCGATGGGCTCTTCGCCTTCTTCCAGCACGAGCGGGAGGCGGGCCGCGCCATTCTGACGCCGAGCGATGGGGAGCCCATCGAGCACGTGGATCTGAATTTGGGCGGCGAGGTGGAGTTCGAGCTCGAGGTCCGAGTGAGGACTCTGGCCACGAACGCGCTGCTCGTCGCCAAGGTCTACTCCGAGGTCGAGCCGATGCGACCCGTCGGGAAGGCGAAAGGTCTGCTGATCCGCGGGGGCGTCGCCGCCTGGCAGATCGGCGAGGAGTTCCTACTGGGGAGCACGCGCGTGGCCGACGGCCTCCCGCACGACATCTCGGTCTTCTACGACACGGAGCAGGACGAGTACGTCCTGAAGGTCGACGGCGAGGAGGACGCCAGGGGATTCTGGGGGTCCCCAGACGCCCCGGAGTGCAAGCTCGTCTTGGGCTCCCCGAGCGCCCCCCGGGACGAGAGGTTCAACGAGATCCTGCCGCTCCTCGACCAGCTGCGCGGCTGCGGCGTGGAGGTGCTGCCGCTGGAGGAGCAGTCGGACGAGGTTCTCCTCGACGGCGACTTCGACCGGATCATCTGGAAGGAACGCCAGTGGATCAAGGGTCTGGACAAAATGGAGTGGGTCTCCTACCAGTTGCACGTAGACACCGAGGATGCCATGGTGAAGAGAGCGACATCGAAGGCGCCCAGGGCGGATGAGACCGTGATCATGACGGAGCTGGAGGCAGCGCCCGAGCCGAAGGGCACAGCGACTGCATACGTGATCGGCGACGCTGTGGAGTATTGGTCTAAGACCACGAACTCGTGGTTAGGTTCGAGGGTCATGAACATCAGGGGCCAGCCTTACCATAGCGAGGAGCACGGCATGAACGTCTTCACGTACGACCTTTTTGTCATGGCCGCCAGACAGCGCGTACCCAACGTGGATATGAAGGACCTGCGCTTGCCGTTCAGTGTGAGTGAGCCGGTGAGCGTGTTCTCCAAGAAGCACGGGGACTGGTACCCGGCCATCATACACGCGGCGCCGAGGGAGGCGCGGGACCCGAGGCTCGGGTACGACGTCGCGCTGGAGCCCAGCGAGCTCAAGACGGAGATGCTGGAGCACGCCAGGCAGCTCAAGGCCCAGAAGGAGCTCCAGGGGAACCAGTACGAGGAGAGACCAGGCCGCGGAAGCCGCAGGCGGCCGAGGTGGAGCAGCGATCAGGACGTCGCCGGCAGCGCGGAGCTCGACTCGGTGCCACAGGTGCCCCCGCTTGGCGGCGACGCGCTGACGAGCAGCAGGCCGGCGCAGGTCCCGCGGCTGCCCATCGGACAGGAGGACGGCAACCCCAGCGGCAACCCCGAGAGCAGCCCGATGCAGGAGAAGGACCTGCCCGTGCTCAAGAGCATGCCGGGCAGGCGCCTCCGGAGGCGCTTCGACCGCGGCATGCCCGTGCTGGTGTACCTGGGAGCGGAGCAGGGCTTCCTCACGGGCACGGTCGTGGAGTCCACGGGCGGGCCAGAGCCCAGGGACGTCATCCCGTCGCCGAGCCCGAGACCGAGCCCGCGGTCTCCGAGGACCCGCTCGCGGATCAGGTGCCCAGAGGCCTCCCCCTCGATGTCGCCCTTGCGCTCCGGCGACGACGACGACCAGCACGGCGTCGACGTCCGCCCCAGCGCCGGCACCGCCGAGGTCGAGGCTGCCGTCGCCCCACAGCGCCACGCGACGGCCACCGTGTCGATCCACGGCCGGAGCGGACCCGACCGCACCTACCCCGAGTACATGCTGAGGCCGCTGATCGAGCGGCGCGGGGCGCGGTCCTGGATTTGGGGGAGCATATGAGCACGTCGCTCTTTGGCAGGGGCGAGGGCCACGTCCTCAAGGACCTCGGCGGGCCGCGCGGCATCCGGGACGGAGGAGAACAGCCGGTCCTCCAGCTCGGTGGCCTTATCTCCGACAGAGACGTCTCTCTGACAACCTCCTCTCGGGCCTCCTGCTGAGCACAGAGGCGCCGAGGCCCCGACCATGCCGCCCCATATGGCTATTGCCGGACCGCTGTCGTATATCTTTGGGTTTCACTATTGGCGTTCGATTGTTCAGCAATGGAATTGTTCGGCGTATCCCCACCAGCCCCTCCAGAAACGATGCCCAGGGGAGTTGAGGTGATCAGGAAAGTCGGGGAGCATGCAGAATAACAAAGGGCGGGGGAAGCTGTCACGTACCCCAAGAGGGGGAGGATGGAGAAGGAATCCTCGTCGGAGGGGGAGGGGGAGGAGGAGGAGGAGGAGGAGGAGGAGGAGGAGGAGGAGAATGAGGAGGAGGATGTGGAGTAGGGAGAGGACGAGGAGGACGAGAAGGAGGAGAAGGAGCAGAGGGAGGAGAAGGAGGAGAAGGAGGAGAAGGAGGAGGAGGAAGAGGGGGATGAGAAATTGAAGAGGACGGCGAACCGAAGAGCCAGAAGCGTCTTAAATGCATTTCGGAGATCCTCTTGAGGCTTCTTGGGGGTCTCTTGGGAGCCTCTTGGAGGCCTCTTGGGCGCCTCTTGGGGCCGTCTGTGCGCCTCTTGGGGCGCTCTTGGGGCGCTCTTGGGGGCTGTAGGGGCGCTCTTGGGGCCATCTTGGAGGAGATCGATCAACGAAGGGGGGGTCCCTAATTAGCCTCCCCCCTCAGGAGCTCCAAACATCGCCTCTTGGGGCGCTCTTGGCTCTTGGGCGCTCAGGGGGCCGTCTTGGGGCTCTCTTGGGCCTCTTGTGGGGCCCTCTTGGGCCATCTTGGAGCCATCTTGAGGCCTTGGATGGCCATCGGAAGCGAAACGGGGAGAAAGAAAAACACATGTTTTTTCTTTTTCTTAAGGTTTTGGGACGATTTTGGCCTCTTCGGGGCCTCCTTGGGGAGCTCTTTGGCCACTTGGAGCCGTCTTGGGGCCGTCTTTGGGCCTGTTGGATCCATCTTAGGAGCCATCTCGAGCGATCTTGCGCTATCTTGAGCCATCCATCTTGGAGCTCATCTTGGGCTCTCTGACGCGCTCTTGAAGCCATCTTGGGGCCAAAAGAGCCGTTCGACCGCTCGCGAAACCCTCCGTCCAGGTCCAGGGGAGGGGGTAGGGGGAGGGGTGAACCCCTCCCCAAGGGGGAAGAGGGAGGGGTGGAAGAGGATCTGTTCTAGACCACCTACGCCCAGAGGGCTGGTGGGATTAGATGCATTAGCGCCGTGCTACTTTGTCGGGGCGTCTCCGACCATCTTGGAGCCCTGTTGGGCAGCCTTCGGGCCCTGGGGCGTCTCCGACGATCATTTCGGGGTCGTCTTAAGCAGTCTTCTTCCCCAACCATCCTGTGGTGTTGGGTCCTCGTTTTGTAGAGACAGCGCCCCTCCCTCCCTCCCTCCCTCCCTCCCTCCCTCCCTCCCTCCCGCCTCCTCCTCCTCCTCCTCCTCCTCCTTCCTCCTCCCCCATCTTCCCTTCTCCCAGTCCTCGCTCCTGCCTTCATAATGTCTCTGTTTCGGTACACCCTTCACACGCTTCGCGGCTCCATAGGGAGCCCCACCTAAGGCCCCAGTGGCGCAGTTCGCATGGCGCCGCCGCCCCATTTTGGAACACCCCTCATACGTTTCGTGGCCCCACAGGGAGCTCCACCTAAGGTCGCAGTGGCGCAGTTCGCATGGCGCCGCCGCCTCATTTTGGCACACGCCTCACACGTTCCGTGGCCCCAGAGGGAGCTCCACCTAAGGTCGCAGTGGCGCAGTTCGCATGGCGCCGCTGCCGCATTTTGGCACATGCCTCACACGCTTCGTGGCCCCACTGTGAGCTCCACCAAAGGTCGAAGTGGCGCAGTTTGCATGGCGTCGCAGCCCCATTTTGGCACACCCCTCACACGTTTCGTGGCCCCAAAGGGAGCTCCACCTAAGGTCGCAGTGGCGCAGTTCGCATGGCGCCGCCGCCCTATTCTGGCACACCCCTCACACGCTTCGTGGCCCCATAGGGAACTCCACCTAAGGTCGCAGTGGCGCAGTTCGCATGGCGCCGCCGCCCCATTGTGGCACATCCCTCACACGTTTCGTAACCCCGCGGTGAGCTCCACCTAAGATCCCAATGGCGCAGTTCGCATGGCGCCGCCGCTCCATTTTGGCACACCCCTCACACGTTTCGTGACCCCGCAGGGATCTCCACCTGGCGCAGTTCGCATGGTGAACGGCGCCCCCCGGGCATTCTACGGCGAAAACTTCTGGGCCCGAGCGGTCCGCAGCCAGACCTTTTCTGAGTCCCGTAGACTCTCGCCCTGAGCCGTCGGCTGTCCGCCGTGCTGCTCCCTCGGCCGACATCGCCCAGGCGTGATCCTGGACTGCGGCCGCCACGAGGTGGGGAAGGGCAAGGACGACGACTGGTGGCTGGAGCTCTACGTGCTGTTCTCGCGCGCCACGCGCCACGAGGACCTCCTGTTCATGCGGGCGCCGCGCATCGAGTTCTTCCTGGCAGGGCCGCCGGAGGGCTTGCGGAAACAGCTGGAGCAGTTTGCCACGCGCACGAGGCGGTGCAGGAGGGAGGCGGCGGCCCTCGCCAGGGAGCTGAGCTTCACCGAGTTTATTCGTGAGGCTTGACCAGAGGAGCGGCCCGCCCAAGCCTCGCCGTCTCTCGACGGTCTGACTGTTTGGCCTCGCGCCGCGGGCGACCCGCGCGCGTCGCTGGGGCCCTCTCGCCCGTCGCGGGAATTCCGCGCTGCGCTCTGCCCAGAGCCTCGCTCGCCCCCGTCGTCGCTCTGCCCAGCGGCCACAGCCTTGCCCGCTATCGGCCAGCCAGCTAGCTCTGTCTGTTCCGCGCAGCGGACGACCCGCGCGCGTTGCCAAGACCCCTCTGGGGCGACCGGCGCGCGTCGCGGGGACTCCGCGCGGCGCCGCGCCCGCGGCGTTGGACATGGGCGCGCACGGGCGAAGAGGGAGAAACATAACGGGAATGAAGCGGGCGCGATCTGCGTGAGGGGCGCGCCGACATGGGCGTCCCGGCGCGCGGGCGCTGCTGTTGGGGCCCCAGGGGGAACTTGCGGCGGCGGCCGCGCTCAGCGTCACGAGTGTTCAGGGTCAGGCATACGTGAACCACTCACATCATATATATATATAAATATGTATATATATACATACATACATACATATACATACACCAGGCGTGGCCACGCTCGCATCCATGCAAATATGATCACTCGCGCGCAGGCTCATTCACGCTCAAATTCTCTCGCGCTCAGGCCCACCCGCCCCCAGTCTCTCGTAATTCGACCTATCGTCTTCGTTCGTGTTGTGTACCCTTTCCACGCAATTCGGCGCACCCCTCATCCGGTTCGTGGCCCCATAGGGAGCGCCACCGAATAATATATTCGGAATTGCGGTATTCACAACTGCATATGGTTGGGTCCTTCGCCAGGCTATTGTTTCCGACGGGGGCGCATCAGCCTGCCGCGCACTTTTCTGGTCGATTGCCCACGGGTGCGCACGCAAGGCGGAATGGAATAATCGATCGCCCCCCGCGGTGAACAAAACAAATTGCAATGGCGGAGTCTCGCGCAAGAGGCACAACCGCCTCGCGCGCACTGATCTGGTCGATTGCCCAAGGATGTGCGTGCAAGGTAGAGCGACCAGCTCTTGATAATTACCTTGTGACGTACCCAGCCCTGTTTATACATGTGGCGATTCGACTCAGGACCATTCGATTCTGACTGGCATTCTGAAGAAGCCGCCGCGCGCAAGAGGAGCAGACATCTGCAATTTCAGAACAGCGCAGCAAGAGGAGGAACGGCAAATCTACAAAATGGAAGCACAGGGGCGTTGAAAAAAACGCGTATGACGCACCTCCGAGTAATCCGCGTGGGACGTACCTCCGCTGGGCCTCCCAGAAACCCACGAAAGTGGCGACAGCTGCGCAGATCGCAAGCGGCGAGGTCCCGACGTGATCGGCGTGGGACGTACTATTGCTGGGTCCCCCAAAAGCTCACGAAAATGGCGACAGTCGCGCAGATCGCAAGCCTCCCAGGGGGCAGCGAGGTCCCGAGGTGATCCGCGTGGGACGTACCTTTGCTGGGCTTGCCAGGAGCCCACCAAAGTGGCGACAGTTGCGCAGATCGCAAGCCCCCCAGGGGGCGGCGAGGTCCCGACGTGATCCGCGTGGGACGTACTTCCGCTGCGCCTCCCAGGAGCCCACGAAGGTGGACACACTTGCGCAGATCGCAAGCCCCCCGGGGGGCGGCGCGGTCCCGAGGTGATCCGCGTGGGACGTACCTCTGCTGGGCCTGCCAGGAGCGCACGAAAATGGCGACAGTTGCGCAGATCGCAAGCCTCCTCGGGGGCGGCGAGGTCCCGAGGTGATCCGCGTGGGACGTACCTCCGCTGAGTCTCCCAGGAGCCCACAAAATTGACGACACTTGCGCAGATCGCCAGCCCCCCAGGGGGCGGCGAGGTCCCCAGGTGATCCTCGTGCGACGTACCCCCGCTGGGCTTGCCAGGAGCCCACGAAAGTGGCGACCGTTGCGCAGATCGCAAGCCCCCCAGGGGGCGGCGAGGTCCCGAGGTGATCCGCGTGGGACCCACCTCCGTAAGGCCTCCCAGGAGCCCACGCAAGTGGCGACAGTTGCGCAGATCGCAAGCCCCCCAGGGGGCGGCGAGGTCCCGAGGTTGTCCGCGTGGGACGTACCTCCGCCGCTTGCCAGGAGCGCACGAAAATGGCGACAGTTGCGCAGATCGCAAGCCCCCCAGGGGGCGGCGAGGTCCCGAGGTTGTCCGCGTGGGACGTACCTCCGCTGGGCCTCCCAGGAGCCCACGAACGTGGCGACAGTTGCGCAGATCGCAGACGGCTCGAGAGAACAGGAGAAGGGAACACAAGAAACAGGGCAGAAGGAGGAGAGGAGGAGGAGGAGGAGGAGGAGGAGGAGGAGGAGGAG